AACAAAGAACAGTTTTCCTAAAACAAAACGCTTATGAACTCACCAGCTTTATGCTGATACTCTTTCAAAACCTACTTGTATTCTCAGGACATTAGTAGACAGGTACACACCCGGATTCAAGAAGACGGAGCATAGTAGCTTTGAGTCTTTACTTGTATTTACTTTTGGATTCAATCGTGTATGAGTCAAATGTAATGTAAACACTATACTATTAATACAATGGTTGTTGTTGCTTTGATTACTATTATTCAATTGTTTTGATACTGTACATGACGTCCTCCGCCCCCGAACGTTTCCGCCGGTTCGGTTTGGGGGTGTGACAGTGACCCCCACTGAGATTAGCAATGTAATTTGAGTAATCATCCAAAACATGCAATGAACTTTGAACTGTAGTAAATCTAAAATCAATTCCTAAATTGTACATCAAACTTCTAACAATAAACCTTGAACATTTTCAATTAATGTTATCGAGTTGATATGCATTTGATTATTTAAGTATATCGTAAATTGTTTAGCTTCCTCTATTGAATTATGGCGTGAATGTAAAGTTTTACGTTTAACCGTAAACATGAGGCTTTAGTTTGATTGTCTAACTAATGATTTGGATGAGACAAAAGCATTTGATGAGTGGATTCTTAAAATTAGTGAATGTAATATTGGTGGCCCTAATGATGGTGAAGCTGAAGTTGAATTTCCAGAAGACGTTGTTGTTCGCTCTACAGGTGACCATATTCATTCAATTGTATCCACCATTTATCCATCATTTGAAAACAATCTTAATGATCCATCATATTTTCAAGATAAAGCTATTTTGGTACCTACGAATGAAGAATTTGATGCTACCAATGACTACATTTTAGGATTGATGAAAGTTGAAGGGAAAACATATATGAGTTCAAATTATTTATGTGAGATAGAGTTACCAGATTTTTTTGAGGAATCAATCTACTCTTCAGTTGTGTTGAATGGTTTTAAGGCATCTAGAATTTCCAGCCATAAACTTACAATAAAAATAGGTGTTACAGTCATGTTACTTCGTAATATCGAGCAAACCAAAGGACTATGCAATGGTACTAGGTTACATATTGTTAGGATTGGAAGACACGTCATTGAAGCCTGAATCATATATGCTAGATTTTTCAATGAGACTACTTATATACCTTGCAGGAAGTTAACTTCGTCTAATAAAAAGAATCTCATTCCGTTTTTAGCGAAGGCAATTCCCCATAGTTGTTTATTTTGTTATGGCCATTAACAAAAGTCAATGACAATAATTATCAAATGTTGGATTATACTTGCGTATGCCGTCTTCACTTATTGTCAGTTATATGTTTTTTGTTTCTCGCGTCACAAGTGAAAAATGATTAAAGTTACTCATATATGACGAGGAAGGTCATCCAACTAATAAAACAAAAAGTTATGTCTACAAAGAGATCCTTCATTGATTATAGATATTTACGTGTTTCATTGTTTTTTTTTCAGATATTTCAATGTTACCAATAATGTTAAGTCTGTTTCTGTTACTTTATTTTTTTTGTAGTGCCAATTTTTTTATACCTTTATATGTACATTTTTATATGTTCCCCGCGTTTTACGCGGGTCATAATCTAACCAAAATTTGAAAGGAAATTATTTTAGAATGCTTTTTTATTTTTAAGAACATAGTTTAAAAAAACAAAATATTTGACGTGCATCGATATGAAATATCATTTATTGTCTATTTTCTCTTAAATTATTTCAATTTCACTTTAGACAAATTATCTATCTTTGTAAATTAATAAATTTTGCAAATCATTGATTAGTCATTACAATTTGCATTTATCAATAATGTTATACTTTTCAACCGTGGTTTCCACGGGTTTAAACCTAGTCTACTCTAATAAATGAAGATTTATTTTGTCACATATCGATCTCTCATTAGTTTTGACACTTGTCATTTTGTGATATTTTTGAAATAAATAATATCCACATGTCAAATCTTAGGTTTTTTAAATTTTAAAATTAAAACGTCATATAATATTTATATATTTATATATGTAAAGTATTAAATGTCATAAATATGATGTTAAATTGCAATTAATACATTTCTTTATTTCTTATTTTAAAATTTTATTTTAAAAAATATTTATTGTTTACACTTTAATATTTAATTTTTTTTTAATCAACCTGTTTAATTCACGGATTTTTACACCTACTATAAAAATAAATGATTTCACAATTCTAGAAAAAGGATTGCACATTGTATTTAAAATCTTTCACAAACTAAACGTTGTCTTTGACTTATTTTTTATATATATAATATTGATTACATGAAATGTATGACATTTCAAATACCTTTATTTAAATAAAATTGACTTATTAGTTTTATAAATATAAAACAAAAGAACAAAAATATTAACAAATCAAATATTGTTGTAACTTTGGGGGAGGAGGGAAATGAAAAGGAAAAGGTAGGAAAGAAAATTATGGCATGAGGGAAATGAAAACATTTCTATCAAATTTAATGAGAAATTGTTTCTTTTTTCAACGAATTTCCTAGTAATTTAAAACATTTTTTTATTATTCGTAGTTATTTTGTTGGAAACTACGAACGAATTTACGACGGAACTTTTCGATCTTCAAGGCTTGTAGGTATTGTGTTGGAAAACAGTTGGAACATTAGGATTTCCATTTTTGTTGCCAGTTTGTAGGAAATGTGTCGAAAATTACCGACAAAACTATTTCCGTTGGAAACTTTTGTAGCAAAACCTTAATATTCTAGTAATGTTATAATCAAACATGAATATCAAATTTATACAATTTACCTTGTTCATAAATGAACATTGATATCGAGAGTAATTATAAGGGATAATGACTTAAAAGGGTAATATATTTTTCAGTTTGTATACATTTAGTCATTGACGTTTTTTTTGTCAACATTTTCCCATTGAACTTGTTTAACTGTTCCAATAACATCCTTATGACATGCTATAGCAGGTTTAGCCGGTTTCCAGCATATTTGACAGATCCGACGATACTCCGATGAGTTTTCCGGTGATTTCAAACACATTTTGAATTCCTTAATCGAATTTATAGATGTTGCTCTTGAAGACGACCCACCATTTTCCCCAATCTTGAAAATTATGAAATCCCAAAATCAAAAAAAAAACATGGAGCTTAAAGAAGATGCATCAAACAAGAAACCTACTCATGAAGGGTTTCTTCCGGATTTGCATATCTGATGAAGGATTTAGATTTCCAGATCTGATGAAGATTTGTTTGTGAGTGTGTGGGTGTTCAATTTGCAAACTTAAGAACTCAAACCCAGAAATCAATTATTCATCTTCATCTTCTTCTGTTCAAACTCAAGAACACATATCATTATTTCTCTCTCTAAAAATGATTTTTGAGTGTCTTCAAGCTGAAGCATGATATGAAGATGAACGAAGTTCATGTTCTTCATCAACTTCGATTTTTCATTTTGTTCAAGAATACAAGTTTGATTTTTGGGTTTGTCTTTATGTTCATCATCAGAGTGTTGTTCCAGATCTGTTGTTCATTGCGCTCATCTTCTTTGTTCTTGGAAGTCAACAAAGTACAAATAATGCAACACAATGTACAAGTTCGTCGATGCATTATCCTTTGAACCAGCTCACATAAAATCGATTTTTTCTATGTGCTTGGAAATTGTTTTCTGGAAAGAAGAACATGATCGAACATCAGATTTAGGAAGAAGATGAAGACGATGAAGATCTACAAACCTTGAAGATAATTGTGTGTGTTCATCTGATACCTCTTCGGTTCAAACTCAAGCACATATATCATTATTTCTCTCTCTAAAAATGATATTTAAGTATAGGGTGTTTGATCTTCTAGCTGAAGCACATTATGAAGACACCGAAGTTCATGTTCTTCATTAACTTCAATTTTCATTTTTGTTCAAAAACACAACTTTGATTTATGGGTTTGTCTTCATGTTCTTCATCAGATTTTTTGATTTATGTTTTTGAGTTCTTGTTTGTTTTAGATTTCTAGTTTGGAGATGAAGTATTGTGTGTTGTTGATCAAAAAATAAAAAATTAAATAATTTTAGATTTATGGTTAGAGACTCACCGGAGAACACGACCGGAGTGTCGCCGGAGGTGGCAAATATGTCGGAAACCGGTTTAACCTCCGATAGCAAGTCATAAGGATGTTATTTAAACAGTTGAACAAGTTCAATGGGAAAATATGAACAAAAAAAAACCTCAGTGACTAAATGTGTACAAACTGAAAAATATGTTACCCTTTTAAGTTATTATCCCTAATTAAAATCATTCAAACTTATACAATATACATATGTTCATAGATTAACATTGTTACATAAACCCAAAAATTAATCATGTTCATACAAGTTCAGTTGTACTACATATGTTTGATTATGAACATAAACATGTTCGGTTATGAATATATATTTTCTGAATACATTGCCTAAAGTATGTAATTTTAATGCATTCTCGATTCCGTTCCATAATTATTTTTTGTCACCTCAAGCATCTCAACGTCAAACCCTTCCTCAAATGCTCAACTATATATATATATATATATATATATATATATATATATATATATATATATATATATATATATATATATATATATATATATATATATATATATATAGAGAGAGAGAGAGAGAGAGATGTTGGTTCCCTTGAGAATAAAAAAAAATTAGAGATTGTGAGATATGTGTATAACCGTTTGATTTGCTTATGTTTGTTTCTGAAGCTATGCAGTGGCATATTTGTAATTATGTTGGTAACTTATTAAACTAACGCCGTTAATTTACGATTGTGGGGCTATTGTTGTAATTTTACAAAGATTGATATGAATTTTGCAGGCTACGATACTGTAACCGCCTATTGTTTTCTTTTCTTTCTCGATCGAAGTCTCAATTCGAACTCTCAGGAAACCCTGTTTTTCTTTCTTTATCTCATTTTGCCCTAGTTTTCGTTTCTTACCTGTTATTGAGAAATCAGTAAATGTCTTCAGGAGAAAATATAAACGAAGTTGCATCTTCCTTAATCGAAATGAAAGGTTAGAATGCGAGTTATTTTTCATTTTATTGATAATGTATGTTTTTATTAATTAGTTAACTGTCGTTTTATGTTGAGAATGGTGTTTTTTGTTTTGATTCAGTAGGTTTTTCGTCATTTTAACTTGATTTTGATGATTGTCTCGTTTAGAGTTGATATGTTTTTTATTATGTTTGTTTGTGGTGGTTTTTGATGTAAGTTTTTGTTTATATTTTCACAGATAAGGATTTCAAAAGAAACTATGTTCGAAAAAAATTCAAAAATCAGAAAAATATCGAATGCGGTAGAAGTGTTGTTATTTCCGAAGGTACAGTTCAAAAAAAATCATCTATGATTAGAAGTAGAAATAAACATATAACTTAATGTCTGAAGTTATTTGTTGTAATCATAACTGATTTTTTTATTTTTTCAGTGTATTGAACATAACATCTAGTTATATGTTTATTTTTACTTCTAATCATAGATGATTTTATACGTTTGTTTATAATCATTGGTAACTAGTAATGATAAATGTATTTTTATGTATCAAACATGAATATAAAGTTATTTTTGTAATCATAACTGATTTTGTGGTTCTTTTAAGTGGGTTGTATATAACATTTAGTTTGTATTTTTATTTGTTGTTCTGTTAATAATCATTAGTGAATAGTAATGATAAATGTATGTTTTATTTTTTACTAACACTATTTTTGTAATGAAAATTGTATTTAAAAAAGGGAATGTAGATAGCTCAAGGAAGACACGGTCATCTTCCAAAAGAGAGAAGGCGAATGAGGTGTTGCAAACACGTTCAAAGACATCCAAAAAAACAGTTATTGAACAACCAAAAGTGAAGCTGAGGGTTAAGGTCAAAACTGTAAGTAAGAAACGTGAACTATCTGATGAAGATGATTCAGATTTTCAGAGTCCTCCTGGATCTTCAAAGAAACCAAGGAGAGAAACTAAAGTTTTGAAGAAAGATAAAAAAGCTGTTGTTATAAAAGAATTTCCTTCATTGAAGAATAGATGTTCACCCGGGTCATTGTTGGGTGTTATTCAAGGTTTAAGTAGAGAACAGAAGGATTATGTTAGGGCTATGGGATTTGGGAGTTTGTTAGGGATGAAGATGATTGACGTACTGTTGAAGATTGTTTATTATGTTCTTGATCATTTTAATTTTGAATCTTTGAAGGTGGAGTTTGATAATTGTGAAGTTAGTGTTGATAGTAAGTCTGTTCAAGAGATGTTAGGATTACCATCTGGTGGCTCATTACTTTCAAACATGGATTACATTTCGGAGAATAATGAAGAGAGTTGTATGTTTGAGTGGAAGAAACAGTTTGAAAATATTGATAAATTGAGATTGAAACAGCTAAAGAATGAACTTGTTCAAACTAGTGCTGCTGATGACAACTTGAGAATCAATTTTTTGGTTCTTTTTATTAATACTTTCTGTGAGTCTACAAGCATGGGTAAATGTAATCTGAATCAATTGTATTTAATCAGAAGAGATACTGATTTAAGTAGCATTGACTGGTGCGATTACATTGTGGATTGTTTGGTAGGGACGAAGAAGGTTTACAATCCAGAGAAAGAATCTTCTTTCTTTTATGGACCAGCAGCATACCTTATGGTACGTGAGTTATTTTTTGATATTTATTATTTTTGTTAGTTGTAAAAATATGTTTGTTTTTATAATAAATCATATATGATTTTATTACATATAATCATATATGATTATGTAGTATAACTTTTGTTTAATTATATGTTACACATCAAAATCATATATGATGTTATATATGTTATGATTTTATATATGTTTTTTGTAGTTGTTGTATGTGGATACTTTCAAGTTTGATCATTTGCAAGTCACACGTAAACGTCCAACTATTTTTTATTGGACGTCAGAGAAGATAAGGTTTCTTGAGGATATTTTACAAGAGAGTGGAGGATTTGGATGTGGACATGTTAATGAAGCATATGTTGAAGAAGAATTTCAAGAATCTGAGTATAATGAGGAGGAATCTGGTGGTGATGAGGTTGAATCTGATGGTGAAGAGGATTTATGTGATGAGGATGAAGAAGATTTTGATGTTAATAAAGTTAGTGATGTGGAGGTAATTCTATAGTTTTATTCATTTATGATTTAATTAGTTTATTCATTTATGACTTTTTATGTTTAAGTATTTTAGTTGTAAGTATCTTTTTTCTTATGTAGGTGTATGAAAGTAAAATTTCATGTATGTATCAGAAAATGGAGGATTTGAAAAATGATCTTGTTGTAAAGATAGATGAGGGAGTGTTGAAGTTTCCTCAAAGTCAAAATTTGAAAAATTGGAAATTGTTATTTCCTGTTGAAGATTTAAGCACTGAAAGTTTTGATTTCCGTTATGTTTCACAAAAATATAAAGAACCGATATTAACACCTGGTTTTGTTCAAGTTAATGATGAAGATTATGGGAATGATTTTCTTAATGATGATGAAAATGTTGAAGATTATGATCAAGGGAAATGTTCTGGTGGTCAGGGGGATGGAAGTGGTCCACATGAGGGCAATATTGGTAAAAATCACGTTGAAGGTAAAGGTGATTATGATGAAGATGATGAACAAGGAAGTGGAAGTGGATGTAATAAAGAAGAGGACATGAATTTAAATTTTGTTGTCGAAATGTTACTAAGAGTGTGGGTCTAATTGATAGCCAAGAAGGTGTATCTTTTAGTCAATTTATTTGCGATCCAGTTGTTGAAAGTTTTCTTAAAACTTTGGATCAAGGTAGGCATATTTTATTATTATATATAGTTTAATCATATATGATTTTAATTTTTTATATTTGAATTTTATAGGTACTGATGGTTGTTTAAATCAGAAACTAGTTGAAGATGATGTGAATTTGAATTTGACTGATATTGATGATGGTAAGTATTTATTTATGTATTTTTAATACATAAAATATATATAAATATGTTATATAGATGATTCATTTATGATTTTAATAATTTAGGGACTGTAAATTTGGGTGAGGATGATCATAAGAATAAAGTAATTTCAGATCGTACTGTTGATAAAATTATTGTAGCAAAGAAGGACGGAGAAGGTGAAGATGTTGAAGATTGTTCAAATAAAAATAAAGATGGAGGTAATTTGTTTATAATTATTGTTTATTCATATATAATTGTGTTTATAATTATTTTTTATTCATATATGATTTTTATAATTTTATTGGGTAGAAAATGTTGAAGATTATGCAAATAAAAACAATGATTCAAATGAGACTCGATCATTGAAAAATGATCTTGTTCCAAGTTTTAGTCTTGGATTTAGTCAAGATTCTGAAGGTTCCAAGAAGTCATCTCAAAGTCAAATTTCTTCTGAACGGATGACAAAGAAACAGATTAAGGATAGAGTTATTTTGGGAAACCCAAGTGTTGGTCCAGAGTGTGTTATTCCAAATGTTGATGTTATTGATGCTAGTCCAGTTTCTTTTGCACCCCCTTTGGGTACATTAGAAGAACCATAAAAACCTGTTTCTAGCAAACATAAAGATATAAATGAAGAAGCAACCTCAGTAGTGGATGTCAAAGGAAAGAGACAAATGAAGTTTTCTTATGTTTATAAGTCACCATTTAAGGAAAGGTTGATTGATTTTAAACCTAGTTTGACACAAGTAGAAAATGTTGTTTGTGAATGGCTTTTCAGTCTTCAAGGAAATCCAGGGTAATTTTTTTTAATATAATTTTTTATTTTTATAATTATAATTTTTTCTTTTAAATAACATTTAAATAAATATATACAGGGATATTGTATTGCTTATGGAAACAAATGTTATTGGGTTTAGAGCTAATTATGAAAGTCTTTATAAAAAAACTCATTTGCATGTTAGTGTTCTTGACTCATGGTCTCGTATACTAAATCATTAAGAGAAATTCAGAGATGTTGTAAATTATCCACTCAGATTGGTCATGAATTCTAACACTGTAAGTTTTTATTTTATTATTAATAATTTTTTTATTAAATATTTACATGTTAATATATAATCATTTATGATTTTCTTATATTACAGACTTTGTTATTTGAATATACTCATTTGAATGAAACTGGAAAATATAAAGTTTTCAAGGAGAGCTTTTCTCGCAGTGTTTGTGGTGATAGAGACTTGAAGGTTTTGAAGGATGTTGATATGGTATATATATATATATATATATATATATATATATATATATATATTAATATTTTATTTCTAATATTATACATGTTGATGTTAGGTATTTGTTAGGCGTGTCAAACCCAACAAATAAAGGGGTACAAATGACTCCAAGTACACTACTCTATTGCACTAAAAGGTAGTACAAAGCAAGCAGGGTCGATCCACAGAGACACAGGATAATTAGTCTATACCTCTTTGCGCAAGGTACTATGGTCACCAACAGTAAAGAGGGGGGTTTAGAATGTTATGATTAAACAAACAACTAAAACATAAGTAATCAACTAAAAGAGTGAATTAAATTCAGAAATGGTAAGGACTGCAACCACATGTATGACAACTTAGCAATGTAATTCCAAGATAACATAATATTTGCTCAATTCTATCTAAGTTGGTACTTGAAAGTGTTAACAAGCTCTAACACTTCCCATTCGCCACATTAATTAACCAAAACAAGCTTTTTGATTAACCCTAACCTTACTAACCTAATCTAAACACGCTCTTAGAATTAGATTGAAAGATTGCATTAAACTTTATGTGAATGTTCCCAACAACACCCAATACTCCTCACAAGCTCGGGAGTGTAAAAGTGTATGAATAAGATTTACACTAAATTCATTCAACAGAGATCAATTTAATGCTTGTTACTTGTTCAATTTCACAAAACAATTACGGATTTTGCAAAATGGATAACTTGAATGACCTAATCCTAATTCAAATGGCCAATAAGAATCACAATTAGAATCAAACATTCGATTAAATCAAAATCAAATTCAATAGATAGAAATTGAAAACAAACATCATGTCATATGATTGAAATCACTACCAAGAAATCAAAACATGAAATTAGAGATACTAGGGTTCTAGCCACACATGGCTAGAACTAGATCACAAGTTTAAAAGATGGAAATGTGTGCAATTACAACTTATAAATACTAGAAATAATGTTTCCAAATGATTGCTAATCAAACCCTTGCAAAAACCTTCGAAAATCCTTCTCAAAATGTGCTCTGATATGTTGTGTCTGTGTAAAAATGGCCCTTAACCCGTAATATGAAAGATAGGAAAAACTGCCAAAAGTTGGTTTCTGGGTCGAACACGGCCCGTGTTCAGCATGGTCAACAGCTCACATTTTGGTCAACACGGCCCGTGTTGGACATAGAGTAAATCTGACACGGCCCGTGTTCAACTCTGACTCCGAATCCAAACTTGATTTTTCCAACTTTTTCGTTCTTCGCCCGATCATCCTGAAATCTTCACCAATGCTTCCCGACACTTCCTAAAGCGCGTTCCAACCTCCGGTTTACCTAAAAAAGACATGAAAATGTGCAACTAAGGTTGTTCTAGAGACTAACATGAAATATGATGAAATGCAAGACAAATGAAGGACAATTATGCTAAATAGATGCATGAAATGGGAATAAAAGGTGTGCAAAAAGGTGCACAATTTGCACCTAACAAATCTCCCCAAGCTTAGACCTTTCTTGTCCCCAAGAAAGAACAAGAATCAAACAAAACAGGACGATTTCTAGATGGCAAAAAGAAACATAGAGCAAAAAGGGACAGAAGGATCCTAAAGGCTAGGAATGAATGCATGCAATGAAAACCATGAGAAAGAAACATATGTACAAAGGATACTTAAGGACAAAAATGAACCAAGGAAAAAAATTAAGAACACAAGTAATTTTTTTTTATTTTATTTATTTATTTATTTATTTATTTATTTATTTTTTATAAATATGGACATATAGGATCAGACCTTACATCAGTGGGGCTCCAATGATTAATACCTCAGCGACCATCCTGCTACCTTCCACATATCACAGACTCCCAAAGTGAGGAAGACCCTAAACGGTGTAACCCAATAATCCAACCATAGTTTTATTTAAACTTCATACCTTAATTAGCTTTATGGGCGAAAATAACACAGTCCGGATCTCATTTCTTTAAGACTAGATGGCCAAGAATCAGAATCGACGCATCCTTAAGAACCCGTCACGGCGAATCAGCGTTCGTTGAAACAGTGAGCCCACCCGAAGGGGCCCAGCTCCTATGCTTTCACTTTTTCGAGAGCCACAAGTATCATATCACATAGTTCTTCATTCGCCAGATTTGACTTTGAGGCGGGTTTTGATTTTGATTGAACTTGGATTTGTATCTTCATTTTGAGCTTTGAATTCTTCAATCAACTTTTGACTTTTTGAAAGTTTCTTCGTTTTGGCACTTGAATTTATGATTGGGGTACTGGATGTGACAGTTGTACCCTTTCTTCTTTCTTGACTGTGTGGATCTGATACTTAAGCTCTCTATTACCGCGAGGGTAACGCGTGTCAACAAATAGGTCTGCGTTCTGTGGGTCCAGAGTTGCCGATAAAGATTCTTTTTAAACATTCAGAAGCAAATCATCCTAAAGCTGTTATTACCGCCCACAAAAACGTTTCAGTATTTTATATTTTTTTTTATTATCTAAGGTTGGGGTCTCGAATTACGGTGTTTGGGTCCCCTACTTATGATAGCTGATTCTACACTTCCGACAACTATCCGGTCACTTCAGTATTTTTTTTTTATTTTTTTTTTATTTTTTTTTATTATTATTATTATTGTTATTTTTTTAAACAATGCATGCATGAATATGAAATATGAAAATGCACCTAATGTACAACTCTACCCCTCCCCCAAGCTTAAAGATAAGCATCGTCCCCGATGCTCGGAGAGGGCGGAACAACCTGTTACGGAGGAGGAGACGGGTGGTGCCCGGTTGGGTAAGAGTCCAAACAATCACAAGTGCACACAAATTGAATTTTTAAGCAAAATATGGACGATTAAAGATATGGAAAGAATTTACCGAATCGTTCTTGGAACCTATGCAATTGTGGTGAGAACCTCCTCTTCAACCTCCCCAAGCTTGCCTACATGAAGTATCAAGCCTAAAAGCACAAAACAAATTGTGAAAATTTCGGACCTAGTGGTTCTTGGAAGAGAGCAATTGTTTTGGGGATGAGTTATGGGTGTATTGGGTGATAAAAACAGATTTTAGACTTAAAACACATTTGTTCTGCAGCACGAACACGGCCCGTGTTCTTTTAGTGTAAAATCACACGGCCCGTGTTGGGGGTTTAAAATTCTGAAAATGGCTGAACACGGCCCGTGTTGGGCATAAGGGAAAAATGACACGGGCCGTGTACCCCTCTGACTGCGAAAATGTTTTCCTCGCTTGAACACGACCCGTGTTCAACATAAGGCAAAAATGAACACGGGCCGTGTACGGCTCTGTTTGCCACTTCCCACTTTTTGAACCCAAAAAATCCCCTATTATTCAAACGAAATGGTTTTGCATCCCGAGGTCCGCTTGGTGATTTAAAAACATGCTTAAATGCATTTGGAACATTAAAACCCAAAAACTCAAAGAAATGGAAATGTTTTTAAAGAAAAAGACAAAAATACCCCCGGGTTGCCTCCCGGTTAGCCGCCCTTGTTTTAAGTCGTTGGCTCGACTTGGCCCCTGAGTATGCTTCATTCTAAGTATGTGGGGCTCTCCAATACATCAACCTTCTCGCCACTTCCTTCAATGGAACACTTATCTTGGACTTGACTTTCTTTTTGTGTGGGAACCATGTTGGACTTAGACCCTTAATGACAAAAATCGTCCAGTCGACCCCTTTCTTGTACTTGTCCAGTAAGGTGGTCAAATCTTCCTTCTTTGATAAGGTGGTTGATTTGATGACCGGTTGGGTGTCTTCCTTCTCAGGGTACATATCCCTTGAAGGGTCCAGCAAATTTGTCGTTTTCGGCTCTTGTGGTTGGTCTGCCGGTGAAAGGAGTTTCTCATTGGTAGTTGGTGGCTCAGCCTCTTTTTTGTCAACCTCCAACACCTCCTCTACAACTTCCATGTCAACATTCTTAATTTCTACTTCTTCCTTGACAACCTTCTCCACTTCTACTTCTTCCTCCTCTTCCCCATCTTCTAATTGCAATCTTGGGTCATCAACATTTTTCCCATCGTTCAAGGTGATGGAAGAAACAGTATGCCTTGGGTCCTCCTCCGTCTGCGATGGTAGTTTTCCCTGAGTTTCCAATATACTCATAGATTGAGTAAGTTGTGAAATTTGTTGCTCTAAGATTTTGAGGCTAGCTTTGGTTGTTTCTTGGAAGATCTGGGTAGTAGTGGCAATGCTTTTGACAATGTCTTCCAAGGACATGCTCGACGTTTCAGGTTGTTGGGGAGGTGGAGAATATAGTTGTTGGAACTGTGGAGTTAGTTGGTATTGGTCATTTCCCCAAGCTTGGTATGGGTTTTGGCATTGGTTGTTTCCCCA